CAGGAGAACTGGTGAGAGGAAACCCAAAAAGTCTATGTGTTTCCCAAGAGACTCAGATGGTGTCCTTACGTTTGTGGAGATATCCTGAACCCGACTTTGAAGTTTAAAAGCCTAAGTGATTTCGGAGTTAAAATTTGAGCACAAAATATTATTGAAGAGTTGCATCCAAAAGCACATTTACACTACAGCTAGATAAGACATAATAAGTATTGAGTAAGAGAAGAGTAGTAAATACTGAAAATGAAGACAGATTTGTGGTTTTATTCCGTGTGGCTATTTAACTCATTTAAAAAAATCAAAATAAAAATTTGCTCTTGGCAGCCTGATATCAGTGATGCTCTACAGGCTCCATTGAACCAGAAACCAATGCATCAGGTCAAATTGGGTCTCTCCGCTTTGTAGTGGGTCGCATTGAGTCGCGTCGAATGGGATTGGGTCGCCTTGAATCGCATTGCATCGCTTCGCATTGCATGGTACCGTGACGCCTGGCATCGCATGTCATGGCATCGCATAGGGTTCTGTCGCATCGCATAGAATTCTGTCGCATCGCATCATATTGCATTGCATTGCATCACATCAGATCGGATCGGATCTGGTCAGATAGAGTCTGGTCGCATTACATCACATCGCATAGGGTGTTGTCGCACCGTATCATATTGCATTGCATTGCACCACATCGGATCGAGTTTGGTCGCATCGCATCACATCACATCACATCGCATAAGGCTCTGTCGCATCGCATCATATTGCATTGCTTTGCATTGCATCACATCGGATCGGATCGGATCGCGTGTTTGTCGCATCACATAGGGTTCTGCCACATCGCATCATATTGCATTGAATTGCATCAGATAGGATCGGATCGGATCGGATCGGATCGGATCGAGTGTGGTTGCATCGCATCGCATCGGAACGTGTCGGGTCGCAACGCGCGGGGCGGCCGATGCTCCGCTCTGCTCAGCGCCATGCGTGCGACTGGCCTTGACTCTGGTCTGCTGGGCGCGGGACGAAGCTCTGCGTCCGTTGGCGCCTGATTCACCACTTGACGAAGGGTCGCGCGTGGGTCGCTCAGCGCCATGTTGATGGTGGCAATGGCTCCAGCAGCGGAGATGGCGATGGCGATGGCGATGGTGAAGAAAGTCTTCATTCTCCGAAACAAACCGCGAAGATTACGAGTTCTACTACGGCAATCGCAGATCCACAGGGAAGGAAATTGAGGAAATCCCCCTAACATTTTTCAGTATCAATTAGTTTTAACTTGTCCAAAAGTTTGAAGCAAAAATATTTTCGGATAATCATTAAAACGAATTAAATCGTAGCGTAGAAGGAGCTGAGTGTAGACTGCGACATTTTACAAAATATGTAATATGCCTCATGCGACCAAATCATTTTTGATTTCCTCTCCCAAAATTTTTCTCTGGATCCGCCTCTGACTACGGTAATACACTAGGTTCAGCCACATCATCTGTTTATGTGACGCTCATTTCTGCCCAGCCTTACGGGGGTGGGGCGTGATCGATAACGATATAAATAGCTCCGCTCAACACAAAACCGTTTCTCTTCAAATTGACAATTTTTTAGATATGTCACTTATGTTGTACACTGACGATAAAAGTATTACGGAATCTTTTTCATTGTTACCCAGATTTCCGATTGTTGTGGAGTAGAATAACGTTACTTTGTTTGTTATCATATTTATTCTTTGTATTTTTAGGATATAAAAAGTTGTATAGAAAACATGTCTGTCAATCGAATGTTTCTTTTAGAAAATATGTTTGTTGCTACTCCGTATATTAATTAGTCTAACGAAAAATCTAGAATCTCTGTATATAATCATTGATTTGTGGTGATTTCGAATGAATTCATTTTCAAATAAAAGTTAAGAACAGTGCAATTTAGATTCCACATACTTAATGTACGCGCGGCTAAATAGTTACAGTGTGAACAGTGGTGAATGAGTCACTAGCTGCTTTCATGAAAGAAGACAGACTTGAAAGATGAACAGATGTCTTCGTAATGTACATATTTAATTACAGCTCTAACTCATTTTCCTACTGTACTTCCGTCGATCGTGAAATTCAAATTAAGTTCGTGCGCAAATGTGCAGGCTCGTTGACCTAAGATGCACCTCTGAGAATGAAGACAAATCCAACTTAATTTCTTGAAGGTCGGAAGTTCCGAGGCAGATGTCATCGATGCAAGGTTGAGGTTAAGTTAGTGGGGTCTGCAGTTGCAGTAGCGAGTGTGGGCTGCGGCAGAAATAGCGATATAGAATTTGGAGGTAATAATAGGGGTATTTGCCGTCCACTAAACATGTCGAAGTTCCTCTTCAGCACTGGCAACGTGAGGAAAAACGTCGCTACATTTTCTCATTAATTTAAATAAATACATGAGAATCCGCAAAACACTGTGGGGTCGCCTAATATCTCCGAACCACAAAAAACGTCCGGTCACCGAAATATCGTCCGGTCACCGAAATATCGTCCGGTCACCGAAATATCGGCCGGTCACCGAAACATCGTCCGGTCACCGAAACATCATCCGGACACTGAAATATCATCGCTCATTAGAGGCCATCGTGGTACCAATAGAGTTACTATCCCAATAATCTCCAAGGATCACCACTATTTCATATCCAGCCATATATGTGGCCCTTGTCACACAATATTGGGCCAATCCTGTCCTCGGGTGTACAAAAATGGAAGACTGAGCAAACGATCGTAGGACGAACAAGCAATCATAGGACGAGAAAGTAATCGTAGGACGAATAAAAAGTCGAAGTGGCCAAAAAGAGCCGTCGGGTCAATAGCGATTGTCCAGTGATTGACGGCGCTGGCGGCAATGGCAAGGCCGGAGCGCCGAGGAGGAGGCGGGGTCAGAGGTCGCGCGCGAAGGCCGGCCAGCGGAGGTCCCGTTGGCCGCGCCGCTGTGCGTCTCCTGCGGCTAACGGTCGCCGGCGACGCCTGCGCGCAACGACCTCGGAAGCGGCGCCTGAATGGGAACGCGAAGCGTCCAATTAGGACGAGACGGCGGGGTGGCATAACAAGGCGCGGGGGGGGGTGATGGAGTGCACTGTCAGCGATTTCGTGGGATCCTTGAACTTGCGACGTCTCCTTTTGTATACATCGCTCTTGGAGAAATGGAGCCGCATAGTGAAGTACTTTGAAAGCGTCCACAACCAATCTCTCCGCCCGAGCACCAGCCAACGCGTCAGCGAGATACAGGGCAGGTTCGATTCGGGCCGCCGCAACGATGCCATCCGATTGGCACCTCAAGCGACTGCTGGAATCCAGCTGCCAGATCGTGCACTGTTACGGGGGAGGGGAGTTGTCTGAAGGTTGCCGATGATTATGGAAGCAGCACATGCAGCTAATCGCGGTTTTAATGCATGAACAGTGGACGATTTTTTCTATGCGTTTTATCTGTAATATAACAAGGGGTGTTTGCAGTGATGTTGTTTGCAATGCGTGATTCCTTTGCGTTCTTGAACTTGTATTCCTCCCAGTATGTTTATGATTTTATTTTATTTTCAAGGACCGGGTGCCTGGGAAAAGGCTATGGATTATTACACTGTTTGAATAACGTGTTCGTGTGAGAATCAATGTTTCAAATATTCAACATTTTCATTGAATTTATGTAGAATTGAAACATCATTTATTAGGGTAAATAAAATTTAATTAGTAAAGTAAAGTGTGAAAATGTGTCTACGATGATTCTGCATTTATTATTGTTGTTAATTCAATACTATAACTTTTTTGTGTATTTACCTGCTCACTCAACCTCTTATCAGCTTTTACCCAATATCTTCATATTGAACAAAAACGTTAAATGAAAATAAGTATCTTGCTCATTAAATATACAGGCCTAACCATATGTACCATGGTTTATTGAGATAAGAAATAAGAGCTTTGTATTATATTTTATTTGTCAACTTACGATCAGGTTGAAAACACGATTTTTTTGTTTTGTCAATACATCGAGTGGGATAAAGAAGCAAATTATTTTATATTGATTGTAAACCTCGTACATCAGTGCGGTGTCCTCAAAAGTAACCAGTATTAATTAATTTCTTATATGGCAGATAATCTTGTGCTCCACATAGATTGGCAATCTAAGTACTAAACATAAAATACATCGCTATTAACAAACAGATTTTACTCGTGAGCTCGTAGTTTATTGCAGGATCAACTTCTTGTATGTAAATATCCAAGACTCTTCCTGTTAGAACGTGTTCTTCTGCATCTCTGTGCTAATGTACTGCCGTACGCCTGTAGGGTCGGAATTAATGTCCTAGACATCCGGACCGGATTCTCTTCCCTGCTCTCGTACCGCTATTCTGCTTCAGACTTGGGGATATACGTGCTACTTTTGTCTTCATCTCATTGTCGTTCTATCTGTACGACAAAATATAATATGTTCTTGGTATCGATAAATGTAATGTTACTGGGCAATGAACATTGTACTCTTTGAACGTTCTGTGATCGGATTTCGCTTCGTGCTTGCAAGCAAAATTGTAATTAATTTAATTACTTTTATTCCTCATTTTTTTTTCATGTCTTATTCTCAATCCCACACTCCCCACCGCATCTGAGAGTTTTGGTGTAAATGTTACTAGAAAAATGTATTTACATGCGGTGAGAGAAGTGTCTCAGATGAAGTCTACTATGTTTAATTACGAAACTAAATTAACAGAATAAATTAATGAATACTTGATTTACCTTAATTTGAGTTTCAATTATTATTTACTTCAATTTAATAGGGAATAAAGATGTTTTTCAATTAGAAAAATAAATCTTGTGATGAAGATAGAGATCCTTAAGATAGGCACCCGTACAACTTACTTGATTTCTTTAAGGATATTTGGTTTTGTTGATAGAATATAATAAATATGAATTTGGAAACTTAGCTTGCACCACTTACGTAATTCCTTTGAAAATTAGTTCATTACTAACGCTTCATGACGAAGAACAATGTGTTAAAAGGAGTTTCTTCTGTTACAGCTCACAGAGGATGTGACGCGGAAAAAGGCTGAGTACCAGAAGTACCTGGAATTGTATCGCCTCATGCGATCACGGTTTGAAGAGCACTTCGTCAAATGTAAGTAAACGTATTGTTTGTAACTTTCAACCCGTTACTTACATCTCTGTGTGTATTCATTTGCGTCTGAGCATGAATCTTCTGGTAGTTTTTTCCAAAGAGAAAATCTGTAATGGTTATATGAATAAGTATTTTAATAGTCTTCGAGTGTTTAAAATAATCACAATTTTTTTTAACAAGAATAACAGTTAAGCAATTCATGATGGTTTGCTTTCTTTATGAACATACAAAAATAAAATAAACATATTAATTATCACATTTGTATTTATCACATTTTAAGAGTACATGGAAATGACTTTAACATCAGTTCTAATTTTTGAGATTTATTAAAGGAACTGTTCAAATCGTGGTAAATAAAGTAAATCTAATAGCATCCTTATAGAAAACTATTTAAAAATTTATCCGATCGTTTCACTTGGATGTTTACGGAGGTTATTTAGGAAGTTACAAAATTTAATGCTTGGCGATACTATATCAACAACAGCAGTCGAATACATCAAAGACTACATTCACCTGAAAAGGCAAACTAAACAGCATTGCTTTTGCGAGTCCATTTTGTGCAGTCCTTTCGTTCATCTGTCCTCGCGAGTGGATCATGTAGTTTATTTTCCTTGGAGTTTTTCTATTCACTTTCGAATATTAGATAATATCTTATATACTTTATTTTCTTCAGCCAGTAAATCGCAGTTCAAAGTCTAAAATATTCTTACAATGACTTGCTGTTTTTAACATTTGTTTTGAAGATAAAATTTCACTGTGTCACCGACAAGTACAACATAAGGAAGCACCATAAAATAAAACCAACATTCTTATCCGTAATCCTGTTTATGAACGATTGTTCCTTCACGCAGCGCACTAACGATAAAATTTCATCCAAGAAAATCATCCAATTCACCAAAATGGTTGAAACTTACAAAATATTTGTTTTTTATATTTATTAGTTATAAAGTCATTTCGCGTCGTGTTGAGGGAACTGTGAGCGTGTTGCGGGTTGTGGTGTTGTTGAGCGCGTTGTGAGGATCTAGCGAGTTGTGTTGTTATTGAGTGCATTGTGAGCTTGTTGTAGGTTGTGGGGTTGAGCGCGTTGTGAACGTGTTGCGGGCCAGAGAGTATATATCAGAGACGGCAGTCAATGTTAAACGGAAAGCCCTTATTTTCGTGGAGGGGAGAAATTCGAATCTCCCACCCCAACAGAAACTACGAATGAGGAGGCAGCCATATTTGACCCCCGCCAGCCAATAAGCGTCGAAGGCAGTAAACCAATTGAAATGGAGAACGGACGTGAACCGGGCTATTTAAAATTACATTATTTAGTAAATTTTCCATATGGCGGACATGGTTATGTACTAAATGAAATGTATTTGACATAAAAATGAATGCCCAAGGTAATGT